AGGAGGGAGCCGAAGCCCCGGGCGCATAGGGTATAAGGGAAACCACCCCAAAGGCGGCAACCGAGAAGCGAGGAGAGGAGGTGTGTGGCAGGCGTGCCAGTGACCATGTGTTCTCCGGGACATTCGACGATTGAGGCAGTAAGGTGCCAGCTTGAGAGGAGGTGGCAGTAGGGTGCCAGCCGAACCAACCGTGGAGAGGAGCCCTAAGTGAAGCAGGTGTTTTGCCATGTCTCTCATGTAGTCCCTTGTTCTGGGAGAGATAGCGTCACTGTAGTGGAAGGGATCCCACCACCTGCCAGCCAAAAAGGCCCCAAAGAGTAGAGGAGGGGTAGACTCAATTCCGTGACGACAACTATCGGTAACCGCGTTCGTGTCCGACTAGGCAGCCTCTTACGGGGGCAAGAGAATGGAGAGATTGACTGTAGCCTGTAAGCTGTTCTCTCCTACTGCAACTGTAGTCCCGGCCGTCTGCTGAAGGTGGAAAAGGAGGTTGCCGACCGTGCCAACGCCTAAGCGAGGCGGGGTAGGAAGAGGGGAAACATCATGAAGATGAGAGGCCTCAACCAAGGATGGAACCGAGGAAATCAAGAAATAAATCAGGACCCCAAGGGAGAGGGAGAGCGAGCCCACCTCCTGTAGCTGAGGCTAGATGGAGGGAGATGGGGGGGAGTGGTGGTGCTAGACGATGAAAGCCACGATAGAAACCATGGTGTTGAGTTTTCAATTGCCGGAGGTATAGCGGAGACGGAGGATGTTCTGAAAGCTAAGGATTTTTTTTTTGTTTGACTCATTGATTATTTGTTTAGGGTACAAAAAACGTATAGAGCACTAGCTATGACGACAAAAAACCCATATCCCTCCTCTCGCCACAGGAAAAAGCCAAACCCCCAAGCCCCTCTGGTATGGAGCCAACCGCACATCTCGCCTCAAAGAAAAGAAACCCAAGCCCGGCTAGATGGACGAACAAGGAAATCCTAACTAAGAAGAAACCAGGAAGGGCCAGGAAAACCCGCTGAGAAATCCCAAAAAAACAAAAGAAAGGTTAGTAGCAAGCCACGTAGGCCCCAAAGGGCAAGTCCACTCATTCAAGTGGGAAGCGACGCACGAAGCGTGCTAAGATAGGGGGCCCCCCCCAGACCCACTCCAAGGAGACAGTGCAATACCATAGAGGGAAGGAGGAGACCAGCCGGCCGTGGGCGATAACCGGGGGGAGGGGAAGGTGCAGCAGTAGGGTGCCAGCAGATCCGACCGTAGGAAGAGGAGAGCGGTGGGGTAGACCCAAAGACCTTAAACATTGTCTATCGGTATCGCGTTCATGTCTGACTAGGCAGCCTCTTAGGGAAACAAGAGAATAGGGAGATCAACCATAGCCTGTTGGCTGTTCTCCCCTACTGCAACTGTAGTCCCGGCCGTCTGACGATGGTGGTTAAGGGGTTGCCGACCGTAAGAAGGCTAAGCGAGGCCAACTCAGGAGGAGGAGAGGACTTAGTGCCACGCGTGGGGGGAGGAGGAAGGGGGAAGGAAGATCATCAACGGCCGCCTAGGCAAAGCATAGCAGGTGTTTTACCACGTCTCTCATGTAGTCCCTTGTTCTGAGAGAGATAGTATCACTGTAGTGGAAGGGATCCCACCACCTGCTAGCCAGCCCAGGAGGGCCTCTGAACGACCTACCGCGGAGGAGAGAGAGGGCCTCCGAACGACCCACCCCGGAGGAGAGAGAGGGCCCTGCGACTGTAGACCGAAGTCAATACCCTGGGCAGGAGAGGAGAGAAGAGCCAGACTCCCCTAGGCCGAGGCCAAAGGCAGGAGTGGGCAGGAGGGTGGAGAAAGTTTCACGACGAAACAAAAAACTCACGATAAAAACCGTGGTGTTGAGTTTTCAATCACCGGAGGTGTAGCGGAGACGGAGGATGTTCTGAAAGCTAAGGAGGCACCTCGACATTTATATTCCGCATCTGGGTGGTCACGGGCTACATCTATCTATCACCAAACAATGTACTGTTTCTAATTCCTATCCCCTACTATCGTACGGGGATCCCGTTTGACCATGACAAACTGTGCGTCTTGCTCGGACTATGGTCTCCATGCGTTATCGTGTTTCTGCGAGGGCGTTCGAAACCACTCCGGCGAAAACGCATGATTTCTTTGTCTTGGAGGTTTAGGTATGAGTGAGTGGTCTCATCTCGAGCCAACTCACCATCCTCCTTACTCTGACTGGAGTGATCAGCTCAGTCGAGAGTCTTATCAAATGCCTCGTTGTCTTCACAACTTGACTGCATTGACTTTGAGGACTTTCCGCTACGATCGGACTAGTCAACATCGTGGGAAAGTTCCTCATCCACAGATAGGCCTCCGGTTGGCTCTACACTGTGCGAGCACTTGACTGGGCTCCGTGCCTCGTCCTTACGGGCATGTCCCGATAACTCATTGGACTGTTGGCGATTTCGTCCCAACACTTTCTGTTTATGTCCGTGGTAGTCAACCTCGCTTAGCTCGTAGCTCCATGGTTATCTGTCCAATTGACTCCATTCCACTTTTCAGACATGGCCTGAGGTCCCCTCTTATATATCCTGCGAACAGCTTCTGGTCTGACGGACGGCGACGACGTATACGGTGTTATGAAGCATGCTTCGTTTTTACCGGTTTATACTGTTGGGACACCAAATTCCGGCGACACTATTACTGCGCGCAGGGCCAACGGCGGGGCCGGAGGGGGGTGTTGGCTATGAAATCTTCGCGGTTTTCAGGAGGTCTGTGCGCGGGGAAGGTCTGTGCGTTCATATGTGTAACAAAGATATCCGCGATATCTATGCATCAGAACGTCGTCGACAAGAGCAAAAAAAAAAAACCGACAGCAGATTCCGACTGATGGGCAAGCCTGGTTGGAAGTTAGTGAGGTCAATCAATTTTTTGAGAAGAAAATGGTTGAGCAGAGAAGAAGGTTGAAGGCAAGAAGAGAAACTCTATTAAACTCAATTTCAAGACAGCGTTCCTTACTTACTGAACTGCAACGTAAACATGCACAAGCGGCTGCTCGTGAGGAGAGCAACACACTTCCCCGTGGCTGGAGGCCATCAATATATCATCAAGAAGCCGAGCGTGTCAGCAAAAGTCTTCACTCTTTAATTGGAAAGGAACGAAACTTGCGTACTTTTGAATCTCCATGCCCAGTGGAGGAGAACTTGGAGGCGGAGCAACCCCACAACTATTGTGGTACCCTGCACCATCCGGAGGTCGAACAAGTTTCCAGCATTCATGATTGTTCTATACGGCTAGTTGATATCTCTTTCACGAGTGTACAGGATGCAAATAGAATAACAAGCAATAGAATAGAGGGGCAGGAAGGCTCACCTCCCGATACCTGTAATGGTAGTACTAATGGTAATATTGAGGAGGAAGAAATGGTTGACTCAGATGGAGAGGATACTACACTATTGGATACCGCAACTCCAACCTCTTTTGTTGTCTAAAACTGAGTTTAATGTTTTTTTCTGAAGTTTCTCTCTTCTTTTTTTTTTTCTCTAATATTTTTCTGAATTCAATTTCTCTTTCCCCATTGATTTTTTTTTTTCTGCTCTTCTCAATACTGGTCGCTCATAGTCATGTATGGTATTCAGGTGAATGCCAAGACCCTCAGCCACATCACTATCCACAAGCTAGCACTAGCACAATTGACCTGTTCGTTGACCTCTGGGGCATTTTATTCCTTCTCTAGAAGTCTCGGCCCATGAAGGGGGTACCACATTACAAAGCGATATTCTGCCATCGGCTTTCGCCCACCTGTTTTTAGAAAGGATCGGCTCGGAGGTTTACCGAGGAGCACACCCGTATTGTACGACCAAGGGAACACCGGGGTAATGAATTACCCCACGATTCTGTGGCACAAGGCGTCATGTTTTTCTCTTAAACTACGTGTAGACCTACAGAATAAAATTGACTGGTGGGGTTCAGGTGGGAGGTTTACCCTATTGATATCGGCAATTTGTTGGAGTAATCCTGATAACAGCATAACCCGTGTGGAGAAAGCACACTCCCTATTGGTGGGCTATCTTGTGAGGCTATGCGGAAGGACGTGTAATTCACGAGTAGGCTACAGGACTCGGGAGGGAGCTTGGTTAATTTGTACAATCTGAGCACCTAGAATGATGATATGATCCCAGCCGGTTTTTTTTGTCAGCCCGAGTTTCCATTTTAACTTTTATTAGAGCCACATACTAGCCTCACCCCCCTTGCCATCGAGTCGCTAGCACGAGATGAACTAGTAGAGAAACCACGGTGATCTCGTATACTATATCGTAGCAGGTATTCAGAGACTGAAAGACTTTCCGGAAGAGCAGCGTTAACCCCCCAATATCCAACTACCCAACTGTACGCTTCACGGAAATAGCGCTGAAGAACATTCCCCTCGGACGCAGCGAAGGACTGCCCAGCCGCAAAAGGGCCTTTTCCTAATATGATAGGCAAGCATGATACCGGGGGAGGGTGAGATGGCTACTTTCAACTCTCTCAGAGAGTTCCCTCGTCGCTGTTAGGAAAGAGGGATCAAAAGCCCACAGCGCCCGACAGTTCCATCTACTCGGGAAAGATTGTGCTAGGTATGGGCGGATTTGGGGAGCGAGAGCATTTAATTTCAGGTCAATATCCCTAGTGTGGCCACTGCTTTGTCAGATGTTATCCACTATGGGTTATAACCTCACCCCCCTTTGGCACGGACCTGCTCCGGTAATATAAATTTAGGCGCTTCCAATTCTTAAAAATAAGGGCCTGTCCAGTGCATGCAGAAGATTCTATGGTTAAAAATTCCGCGAATAGTAAATCTGCTGATAAATAAATCACACCTTTAACAATACATTTGTTTGGCACCACCACGATACGGTAAATAAGCGAGTGGTGTAATAAGTTACTCCTCAATCCCGCGGATCCCGGGTTGCTTTAACAGCCGCTTGCATCACCCGTTACTCTGAAGTGGGAAGGAAATTTAGGAGTATAGTATGGTTGATGGTTTAACAGTAACTCAGATTTCATTTTTATAGTGCCAAAGAAATTCCCCTTCCCTCCAAATACAACCCTTCCAAAATTCCCACCCCTTCCCTCAGCCCAACCCCAAACAAGAGAACCCCCCTCGCCCCCCATCTATGCCCGCGTAATTTCGACCCCCGTCGCACCATTAGTCCCCGGGAACGGGCACTTTCCACCAACCTTGCCCACTCCAACCCGCCCACACGCCAACAGAATGCTGTTCACGGCCCCAACAACCTTTTCGCCTTCCAGGCATTGTGCTCTAGAAGTATCCCAAGCCGTTATCGTGCATGTGCCCACTGTTGCGACCACATAGCGCGGGGTATCCACAGCGGCGCAACCGCGCGGCCAGGTCAGATCGACACCTTTAGCCGCTTCTTGGCAGTCCGAAACCAGGGCGTCTCCATCAGCCACGCAGGTTGGTTCTGCACCGGGCAGTTGTTGAGATTGAGAGATTGGGGTGAGGCCTAGGAGGGGTTTTTCGTTAGCAATTGCTCAGGCCAGGAGAAATGGAGGGGAGAAGTATAGAAAGGTGATTCCATACAAAACGGGAAAGCAAAAGTTGCGAGTGATTGGAACCTCATTTTCAGGGCTGGATGCTGTTGGATGCTTGGAGTATGATATTTCTAACAATGGGGGAGTGCACTGAGGGAATCCAATGCCTTTATATTCTAGTTGGTCTAAACAATTACCTGATATATTTTACCTGCACTGCGATGCTCCTACTCGACTAGTTTTGGAAGAAAAAAAAAAGTCTCTTCCCCTGTCAGGTCCCGCTTTGCGCTGTCACATGTCTTTGGCACAGCTAGTTCGGGTTACTAATGCGCATACTATGTTCCTTCAATCTAGGAGCGGGCTTCAGCAATCCCGGAGTGCGAGATAAAACACTGGTTTTTCTCGTTGCCTTGAGAGCCCAGATCGGGTTGTCCGCTAACTAGCGGGATATCGGTAGACGGGGGCCCCCTCGGATATCAGTCCTAATATTTCATCTAGTAAGACCTTTTATTCGGTGGGAAAGTACAATCCCCATACCCGAGCCAACGGGGTACTTGTGAGGCCCTAAGAAACGGTGACGACCTTCCAGGTACACGCGTATCATAGGTCTCGTCAGAATCCCTGGTGCCGCGTACTACCGGTAGGCCGCGTCTCCGCAAGATCTAGAGGGTTTGTGATCATTTGGGGTGAGCTTGACGGGTTTGGCTGCGAAATTATCTGCAAGGTTCACTCCCCAACCCGGCCGAACATACGTATTCCTGATTTTATCGGTTTAGTGTAAAAACCACTACTGATATCTCGGCCTATAGCCCGGCCCCGCTATAACGGTCGGGAAAATTCCTGGTTTTCCCCTATGATATAGCGATACACCAACAGGCAGCGGGGCATTGTGGGATGTACTCGAGTACAGTATTTCCTTGGAACGTTCTTGAATCGTTTAACTATGATTGTCACCCAAGTGGCTAGTTTTCTCACAGGCTATACGGAAAGGATTAGCGGGAGTGGTTACCCCTTGAAAATGTCCCTAAGCACCTGAATTTAGTACTTGCCTCAGAGGTACCGTCACCCACTAGCATATTACCGCCAAGTTTTTGAAGAAAAGCCCCCAAAGGGTCCACATGAAGCCCTACCAGTGCATTCACATTTTACTCAACAACAATAACCATGATGGATCACGGCAAAGACCCTCGGGGCACGGCCCACTGATGGGTTTGGTTTCACAAGCCATATTATCTCAGGTTCCCTCGAGAAGGTAGACCCGTCTCCAGTCTAGCAGGTTCAATTCGTATCGGACAGGAGAGTTACTGCCAGGAAATCTATCTATAATCCATTATAGAGTGCCACCAGTATATATATTTTCTTGCAGTGGGGAAACATATGTCGGGAATTCGGGTTCCCGAGCAGTTAGTTCGTAATAATCTTTCAGATGGGATTCGAAAGTGGGATAATGATGGATTCGAGTCGATAATTATGAACCTCGATGGCCATCACCACACCTTGTTTCTTAGGCACCTACAATCTATGCGATTACCAGCGTGCGAACTATACAGGGCTATATCAAATATCTCTTATTACAGTACCGTATTTTTATTATTTTCAAATCTATCTAACTCTGCTCTTGCAGTTTCCCTTGGGACTTACAACAGAAAAGAAACGCACCGCACACAAAGCCTCCCGACAAACACTGGCCGCCGGCGGCACGCCACTTAGATGCAAGCACTTCCCCCCTTACGACACCTCTCCCTCCGCAAAAATGGAAATAAATAGAGGATGATTTGCACTCATGCCAAAATAGCATTTCCCAAAAAATATCTTTCAGCGAAATCAACCGGAAAAGTGGGAACCCTCTAGACTATCACCAAAATTTATTCACGTGCACAAATGCCAAGCCTAGTACCAATTTACCCCCCCCCCTCTTAAACTCTCGGCTCCACCGCCAATTCTAACCCGAGTAGCCTGTATTGTAGCCATTTTTGATGACAATTGTGATTGTAGATGGAGTTCTCATTACAGTTTTCAGGTGGTTTGACCGTGACCGGCAGAATGATTGCCTCTGCTGTACGGTACCACCGCTTAATATCGCCAGGAGTCTCTCCGGGACTCCCTTAAACAGTGGTTGAGACATAATTATGCGGACACAAAGGAATTGTGGAGAAGTGCTAGAAAATATGCCAAATAACCCAACAATGATACATACCTTCGCGATAGCCTAGGAGCCCTCCAAAAACCTAACACTGTGCAAGGTTCTCGCCTCCTTTTTTTTTTCGCCGAGATAAGGAAAGGAAAATATTATCAAACAATTTGCTCGTTCTCTACATTCTGTTTCCTTTCCTACTGCTTTTCCGCCCTATATTTGGGTTTGTTACTGTTGTTACCTCGCGGCATCTTCCCGAGTTACCCGAGCACCATCCCCCGCGATTTACATCCATGTCTCAGACAGTGACAGGGGTGCCATACCCTTTTCAGGTACCGTACTCGTAATCGGGTGTAGTGTACCCGAGTACAGTACCCGGGTAAGGGTACCGTACTTCGCCTCCGGTCATGTAGGGAGGGTTCTTCCAACGTTGATGCTCCAGCAATAACCACTTCTCCTTTCAGAAGTGGTCCCGACCTCGTGCCGATACCTCTGCACGCCATGGTGTATCCCAATGCGGATTTTGACCAATCTGTTCCCCTCTGAGCCTTTCTCACGATAGTTTCAAATTTCTAAATTTAAGGCCCCCCCCCCATTTTAACCCACCCCTATAGGGACCATTTCATTCCTTTGGTGGTTTCTTCCAAGTTCTCCACCTTCCATTCCTCTCCTTTCGGTTGATGGTATGGCTCACCAGGGTCCCCTTTTCTCGCTAGCAAGGTTGTTGATGTTCGGTCAACCGTTTCGTCACTCGCTGACGAGGCCTCTGCTTTGGGGAAGGACTCAGAGGTCTCCCATCTCTGGTACCATAATTTTGTCCTTTGCAATAGGAAATATCCAGCGGTCCGGGCAAGCCAGTCTCCGAGGTTTGCTGTCACTGTACCAATTCGTGATTCCCCTTCATCAACATTTTCATGAGCTAGTTCTCTACAGCCACTTTGAAGTGAAGGGGTGGTGGGTGGGTATATGAGCAGTGGTGGCTCCCCTATGACTGACAACAGCACCGTACGGTACTGTTTGTCAGGTTTACCCCCCCCCTACAATACCTCGTAGCCTCCGAAGCTTACCTCCATCAATAAAACAGTTGAGATACCCCCTCAATGAGGTTCAAAGGAGGTTAGTGATGTGGGCCGGATTCCCAATGAGTCCATATCTGGATTTATTGCTTACGGACATTACCAGCTAGATGCGGTGGAGGACATAGTAGTGTAGTAGGCGACTTATTTTGGGAGCAGTGGCCATGCAGCACTAGGATAGTAAGGAAATCATTGAACGGCGCACATACCAACTCATGACCCCTTCAGGGAGTCTACAACATCAGGTTAGTGATGCTAGTATGAAATGATGACCTGTGATACTTGACCGAGAATTATAATAGCCAGTGGGTGGAATAGGATACCCCCGGCCCGTAGATTTGTTGTGGGGTTTCCAGATAGATTATTCCCCACCGGACGGATTCTCCCGTGGTTGATCTCCGTTGTGTCTTGTGAGATTGTATTGAGACCACAGTAGTGCTTTAGGATTGCACAGCCGAAAAATGGCAGTTCTTATTTTGTTTAATTGGGTCGAGATTATTGTATGTCTGGCAGCCTCTGAGCTTAGACTATGGGGAGCAAGGCTGGCGCGGTAACAGTAGTACCCGGCCAGGCAGGATGGAATTCTGGGGTTGTTGACAGGCCAAAACACTTTGTGTGCCTCCTGAGCCCCTGAATGGTATGGAGTTGACTTATGTCATTGGTAGAGTGCAGTGGGGACGAACACCGATCCGGCAAAGACCCCTTAGTTGGCTATAATAAACTCATATTGAAGTGCTGTCACCAAAAGGTTATCACAAGTGGTCACTCGCACCTCCGGATCCGGTTTAGTCCACACATCAATCTCACACCCTGCGATGGAGGTGAACGCAACTTTTTCCTACCCCCCTTTCAGCAGCATTGGGGGCAGGCAATGTGTCCACTGCGCCACTTTAGCATGCGTAGACCCCCGCTTTCCCTAGCATCGACTTAGCTTTCCCCCAATGCCCAGGAATACCAACAATTGGCTTTACTCAAATGCTCCTACCCTACGTCACTGTAAACAAGAAAGAGTTGAAGATGCCCCAATATCCCATCCATGAGAGCAGCAGCCGCCCCAATAACACGAACCACCTCAACGTGTGAAACAGCTGTACCTTTGCCGACGTTCAGTCCCAACTGCTAACCTTGCCATCACCCCTAGAATCAGAGTCAGGGCATCGGGACGTTTAATAGTGCCGCGTGGAGAATGCAACTTAGTGGAATTGCTCGTACAACCTAAGGATTTCAGAAGCTAGTATGACCAGAGCAAGGAAGGTTAAAGTGATAACGTAGTCTTGTCTCACTGCGGATATCGGGGGATGGGCAAAGTATTTATCCTGTAACAAGGATTGTTGTCGAAGGGGACAAGAAAGAGGGTGAGTACTAACGAGCAGTGATGCGGGTTTTCTAGTAGTGGGCTGGCAGCGCTATCAGGCCGGAGGAGAAAACACCGCCGTTACTTGCGCTTACTTTCACTTCGCAGTGAGGTAAGAGTATACCGCGCCGAGTATGCTGGGTTTGTGGAGTGCAAGGGGTTCCGGAGGAGATATCACTGGTCCCTTAAGAGGAGAAAACCCCCATTCGTAGGTGGGGACGGAGACTTCCTGACATCATAAAGCTACTACAGACCAACATGTTCACAACCCACGTTAACCTGTATTGGCACCCCGGATGAATATGCGCGAGTGCGACGAGTCAAGCTCCTTGATTTCTTAAACAAATTCCCAAGTCCCGGGCACGAATCTTCCTGACCGGAAAGCTCAATGTTTTGACCCAGATTGAGAGGCGTCCGGCCGGGTGAGCGACAAGTGCACCTGTAAGACCTAGCAAAGATGAGACCATCCCATTTCTTTGTGAAACTGGGGGGGGGTGGGGCTCTAGACGCCATGGAAAAGCGTCCAGGGGCAGATATTCCGGAGAAGACTCACTAAAAAA